AATTCTCGTCAGATATTGCTTTAGGTCGACCGCTATGAGGTTCATCTTCAAGGCTGAAATCTCCAGAACGAAATTTGTTGAGCCATTGCCGCACAGTGCTTTCTCTAGCACTATTGGGCCCCCACACCTGGTTAATTTGTTGAGCTGTTTCGATTGCGGATTGCCCCAATTTATAGTCGAAGAAAAAAATCGTCCGAAGTGCTCTTTTCACATGCTTGAAAAATCTTGAAAAAAGGGGGTTTATCAAGCAATGGTGAAACGGCAATTATACCATCAGATAGCGCAAGAAATTCTCTACAGGATGTGCTACTGAGAAGCAAGGCAGAATGAGTTTTTAATCAGCAGTGAATGTACAAAAAATAGGTGCACAAAACGCTGAGAACTTTCCGGACAACCTAATACATGTAGAGTCACTCTCTCAGGGCAGTGAATACGACAGCGTTTTCCGAAAAATCGCCGCAGTGGACGATCACGATTTCATGACCTCCGTGCAACTTTTTCAAGAGGTCGCGTTTGTGGTAGACGCGGCGGTCCTGGCGCGCTTAGCGTAGAGAACCTTGAGGATGCAGAGGCGTCCCAAGCGGCTCTAGAACTCAAGCCGCCGTCGATTCAATCCGCCAGTGTCTACTGCCATCCCGACCGGTGGCCCCACTCAACTCTTCGTCCAGCTGTCAACGTCATCGTCCGTCTGAGCTGGCAGCCGTCAAAACCGGATCATCGTAAGGTTGCCGAACGTACCAGGTAACCACTAGGAGCGAAAGCGCATCCCAACCCTCTGGGTAGCCTGAAGGAGGCCACATTCTTGGGGGTTTCCAATGCCCCCAAGGGTCTGTGGCCTCGTGGCCGGTAGGAATACGAAAAGGTTCGTCCTTGTGGGGTAGGACTATACCTCTTTTCACTTAGTAGGTATATTTCCATTTCGGTTTTATGGGTTGTTCGTTTACGTGTGTTGATACGCCAAACTCTGAATATATGGACACGCAAAGTTACGAAAGGTTCTAGTATTCAGGAGTACACGATCATTCGTAAAGAAAAGCAAATGTGGACAATAAACGCATCAAAATGCCTAGAACTGGCTAGCTGATTGAAGATTTGGAGTAACTGAAAAACGAGTTCTACTGGGAGACTGATACTATAATAACGTTTTAATTATGTTATCTGTTACTGACCTGTTGTTTTAGTGATGTAGCTAAGCGCAATAATAGAATTTGAAAAGTAGAAGCATGAACGTCAACTTCACGCAAACAAGGGCTACTGGTCTCAAGAATTCACCACTGGTGCCGCGAAGCAATCAACACAAGAGCTATAAAGAGAAAAAGGAGATGTCTGTCAGACGGAACTGGCACTACACCGACCATGGTTTGCCTTCGTAGTCTGACGAGTATCAGTAAAACCCAATAATGAAACAAGAAAAACTCTGGGGGAAATCGTGAAAAACTATCAGGGAAATCGTAAACGAAGAGAGCATGGTTCGTTTCGTCTCCACTCGAACCATTATATTTCGTCAACCCCTGAGGCTCGGTGAGCTGGGGTTGGCAAAGTAGCGGGATGGATAAGTTATGTGGCGTAAAGAATAGAAACAAAGAAACAAAGCATGACGTTGGCTAGATGTTACGCATGGAATGCGGAAGAATAGAGAACAGAAAAGTTGAATTAATTGAAGGAAATCTAACAAGAAGATACGGTCACTACAGTATCTATGCATTAGAAGGAATGAGCATGCATTAATTTATCTTAGAAACAAACAAGTCCTACTAAGTTGTGGAGCTAGTCCTTGATTTTGTTGAGAACAGTCGTCAAAACTCCGCGTCATTTGGTTGACTAATGCATTGACCCGACTATAGTCACTGTTGATGTTGGATTTGTGACTTACGAATTTGTTCCTATTGAGCACTTTGATTAAATAAGACGTTAAAATCCATTCCTTGCTGAGGTTTGTTTTGATGAAGCTTTTGAGTTTTGTACTATGAATCAAATTGTGTACAAACATCAGCGACTCTGAGTGTTTCGGTGTATACTCTTATGTTCTTCATTGTTATGCGATACGTTGAGGAAGGGAGCCACTGCTGTGGAGTCTCCGACTTATAACTGGTACTGGCTTTTTCTGAAACAATTACGCTGTGGCGACGTAGTTAAACCTGCTTCAAGATGATTGCTTCATTTCGAGAACCAGCGCTTATATAGGTGCATGTGATCGTAGATACATAAAATTCTTCGGAAATATTCATTACACGTGAATGCACAATCTATGCACCACAGGAGGGTGACTGGTGCTCGCAAAGAGCTTTATTGATGGCTGGCACCAGACCGGCAAGACCATCATAGTCTGCTTGAAACGTGAAACCGCTACCGTAACTCAACATCGTCAGTCGTGGTATGTCAAGGTTTTTCCCCATCGCTACAACGATCACCTAAACTACTACTATACTATGTGAGGTTACGATATATTTATAGTCTACGGCAGTGATGTGAACGAGGAACTTGCGTTCGAACATTTGAAAGTTCCATCATGATTGTGCACATGTGAGTGCATGAGGGCACTGAGTAATCCCTAGAGACAAAGTCCCAGTACAATATCTAATTTTTGGGAAGTAACAGTTGGATAGAGCAAGGGGACCTCCACATAGGGTTCCCATCAGGTGCGCGCGGGAGCGTGAGTTAGCCAAATTGGTGGTAGATGTAATGTTGCTCTAGTAGCCCCACGTGAGCGCATGTGGTTCTGCTCCGCGTTGGCGTCTGTCGCTTCGCTGCCGAGAGAGTTAAGCTCCGAAAATATGACAACTACCTAATACATGAGAATTTGGGGCACGATGCATTGGTCTACTCAGTCATTGGCGCCAACCTTGGGAAATATATATCCATTTTCATTCAAATTCGACTGATTTGACCTTTCAGGTCAAATTCGTGACTCTTCGAGCCAAATCAAGACTTGGTGACCTGTGCCTCACTAGACGCTACTGTAGGAGCGCCCTAGGATTCACTTAGCAGCCCAAAAATGTAAACATTTGAAAAATATCGAAATTTCGCAAAAAGCCGTAAAAGTGGGCGTGGCTAGGGACGGAGCTCAATGCACCAGTGCCTATACGCGCGTCCACGAGTACTTTCGTTGCTTGAAGAGTGAGAGTAAAAGCCACGTCGGAAAAAGTCATAAAGTCGAATTCGCAAGAAAATCTTTGAAAGTGGGTTGAGTTGCTTTGTGCCGATGTACAGTCCTTTTCGGCTAGTGTGTGACAGTAGCGGGTGCAAAACAACAAAAGTGCAAGAAGCTCACAAAAGCAGAAACATTAAAATAATGTTTGAAAAGTTACGACCGCGCTTAAATCTGGGCGTGGTTGTAGGGGCGGGGCTTGCACTGATGTCCAGTGAGGCATTGTTAACCGATTCTTGAATTCGGTTAGAAAGGTGGTGCATTCACTTGAAAGGTCGTGATTTTGGTGTGAAAAATCGTGAGTACAAACTGGAAATGGTATGTATTAGGTTGGCGGGAAAGTACTGTCGGGGTGACCTGTAATGTGAGCACTTATACATCAAGCAGTGGTCTTTCTATTAGTACCACTCGCTTGACTCCTGCTTCTTCTTCTTCAATATGGACAAGGATTTTATCCGCTACCATCGGCACGACCCTCCAAACGCTTCCTCAAACTCTTTCTTCCACCACCCTGACGCCAGCATGATAGCTGCAGATGCCAAAATAATGGAGCTGAATAAGGACGATGCCCTCAATTATCGGACAACCTTCCACGACGCTAATGCTTCAAAGCGGGAGCCTACAGTTTTGATGACGAAGTGAGGTTTGGGTTACCTGTGAACTCAGATTGAGGGAGCTGCGGGTCGTGAAAGTGCTGGATGAAGAAGCTGCTTCCTCGGTCAATGCGTACGCAAAGCAGCTACGAGATCTAAAGCGTACCGTCGATCAGAGGGAAAAATTTGTCCGCACAGCCCGCCCTCATCATGATAGTGCAGCGCACTCCGTCCAAAAAAGTTCGAGCCGTACCTCATGCAATAGAGCTGGATGGCTCTCCCCTTGCACTGGTGTAGCACAGACATTGCTCCTTCTAACTGCAATCGTTATGTGGACGAGAAAACCTCCATAACCCAAGTTCAAGTCGAAGTTGAGATGGTGTCCAACTTTGCGTCGTGTCTCCCTGCATAGTGAAGCGATGGCATCCATGAGGTGTCCAACTTTGCGTCGCGCCTCCCTGCATTGTGAAGCGATGGCATCCATGAGGTGCTCAAAAACTGGCAAGAACCCCGCAGTAACATTGCTGTACAATTTGTAACCTACACGCCCCTCTATAAAAGAAAGCTTAATTCTGAAAAATGTGACAGAACTTTCCCTCCAACCTAATATCTTCCATTTCTCGTTACTGTTCAGTATGCAGCTTGATTCAAATCAAGAAGCCTCATCAACTACCGGGCAGATGCGACTGCACAATCAGAACAGAAGGCTTCCAAATTTACCTTCGTGTCGTCTGTAGTGCGTACCAAGTGCGCAAATTCCATTGCTGCATAGAAATCTTGATCGTCACTGCAAATATAACT